AAAACACAGTATGTTTTAAATTTTTAAAAACGTATGCAGTAAGACACATTTTCATTAATCCCCCTCAATACCTCCCCCCGTTCCGACACACATCCCAGCATTCTCGCCCCTCTCTGAAGCAGCTCTGGAAGTCCTCTTTCATGCCTTTAGTTGTGCTGTGGTGGCCGCCTTGATGTCCTGAATTGATTCAAAACATCTACCTTTCATGGTTATTTTGTCTTTGGGGAAGAGCCAGAATCTTCATGGTGCAAGATCCAGTGAATGAGGTGAATAAGAACCTGCTGTGATGTTTTTGCAGGCCTGCCTTTCTGTTGGATGGCACTTGGCAACAGCATCCACTGATTTTTCCTTTAATCAGACCTCATACAGACCCTCATGAAAGAGGACTTCTAGAACTGCTTCAGAAAGTGGCAAGGACAGTGGGATCTATGTGTTAGCAAGGGAAGTATTTCGAAGGAGATGAACGGCAATGTGCCTTTCACTATAACAAAGAATTTTGTTAATGTATATAGTCACTGTATTTTTCTATCACCCCTTGTATATGCTATCCAGAATGTCTATGAACACTGTTGCAGGCAAAAACTACATATTAAGGCAAATTCAAGTCCCCAACATGCACAGGAAGGATGAATCACCAGCCCTCCATGATAAAATCAATCTGCTAGCAGGTGGCTGTCTGATACCTCTGACCAGTATTTCTATGGAAGGGTCAAGGTCGGTTTGCTGTCGCTGGCAAATATACTTTGCAGCGGTAGTATCCAGCCTCGGTGAGGAGAAATCCAGGCACCATAGTCACGTTATTTACGAACGCAGGGAATAAGTATTTGAGTAGCTGAGGGAAGAGGCTACTCATATGGTTGCCAAGTGACAGATTAAAAGGCTCCTCTCTGGCGAATGTCGTTTGATAAACATTCATGGGAGACCGAAACATCCTAATGCTCTAGTGTTACTCCACTTATATACCTTTTCTCTAGTTTCTTCTCATCAGTTCTTACTCCTTCTGAGCCCTGGCCATATCCAAACATTTAGTCCCTAACATGATTAGGCCACAGGTCATCTCTCCTTTTGGGAAAAATTGAAAATGTATATCCTACTTAACATTATACTAGGAAGTTTTTGCTTCTATATTGCTCTTTAGGACTGTTCCTGAATGGAGCTATAGCGCCACAGCCGTCCAGAGCTGTATTCTGTAACTCTTATACTTTTTTTATAGACAGGAAAGACATAAAGAAGTTCCCATGTCTAGGCAAAGTGGAGCCGCAAATCAGCTGTTGCATTTAATGATAGAGTTCAGCTAAGCAATGCTGGCTTTGCGGTGTTGGAGATAATTGATAATTCACATCCCAGGTTTCATAGGCACCTGGTCTCATGTGCTCAGAAGTTCATTTTCTACCAAAGCCCTCCTCGTTCGGCTTTGTGACTTCCTAAACCACCAGAAACACATCAAGCACCTTTCGATCTGTTCGGTTGTAAGAGTAGTCACAGTACTATCTGCATTATCCGGACTATCTAGAAAAACCTCTCTCTGCCCTGGGTTCCATTCTAGGTGGCTTTTAGCTCCTTCTGAGTATTTGGAGAAGTACAGCTAAATGTGGCATATGCTATCTCCAAAATCCAAAGTGGGCAGAAAAAACCCAAAACAAAACGAAAAACACCATATAGTCCTTTTCTGTGGTAGGGAGTCCAAGGAGCAGCAGCTTGTCTTTCATTCTCAAAACTGTGGCATGCAACCTACAACTCGTGGAGTTTGGAGAGGGAAAACTAGGAGAAAGATTTGAGACAAGATACATAGGTTGTTGTGGCTTTCTTTCTCAAGAGTTCCCATAAATTCAAGCTGTTCCAGCTATGGCATTGGACTCGGGTGTGGGAATTAGGTAAAGGTATGTGACCCTCTACATAATGGCTCATCTCAGGCCTCTGTGCACCAGATTGACTTTCTTTGTAAAAGTCAAGTAAACTTTAGAGAGCTGCTCCATGTATTTCTACCCAAGAGGCCCCATAATAAATGTCTAAATTCAAGGGTTCATTTAGGTCTACTCACTTTGAATAGAACTATGTCCATCAGTTTTTTATTGCTGTGACAAAATACCTGATATATAATATATCCTAAGATATACGTGTCTTCGTCACTTTCCTTATTACTGAGACACAACAGCTGATCCTGCAACTGAAAGGCTCACAGTTTGAAGAGTTTTCAGGCCCTAGTCTGCAGGTTCCAAGGAAGGTGACAGGGCGGAATGGCATGGCAGAGGAGGGCTGCTCACAGCAGGTGGGCAGGAAGCAGACAGAATGAAGGGAGGAGCCCAGGAAGAACTGTGACCTTCTGGCTCACACCCACAGAGATCTGCTCTTCCAACCAGGCTCCACCTTCTCAGCAAGTCAGCTGTACCGTCCCGGTAATCCAATCACTTTCCCAGAGTCCTCCCTAGGATCCCATGAGGCTTTAGGGAGAATCTAGACATGAATCATAACATATAATTTAAGAGGCGGGGTTTATTTTGGCTTATGGCTTTCAGGGATTTTCAGTCTATGATTACTTAGCTCCATTTTTTCTGGGTCTGGATGAAGCAAAACATCACGGTAAGGAGCATGTGGTACAGCAAAGAGATCACCTCACAGCAGGAAGCACGGAGAGTGAAAGAGCACGGGTGGCGGGCTTCCTCCTTTCCTCTTTCGCTCTACCTGGGCACCTGACCAGCTGGATGGCGCTGCCCACATTTAGGTGGCCCCCATTGGTTGGCTGTCCCACATGCCAATCATCTCTGAAAATACCCTGGCAGACACACCCAGAAGAGTGCTTTAGTAATTATCCAGGCCCCAGCAGAGAGTCTCAAACTCCTACAAGGTCACAGGACACAAAGTGAAAGAAAGCAAGAAAGCAAGAAAGAGGGCCAGGATGCAGCTCAGTGGTGCTGCCGCCTGCCTTGCAAGTACAAGGTCCTGAGTTCAATACCTGGTACAAAGAGAGAGACAAAGAAACAAGACTTAAATACACAGTGGGGATCTAGGATAGGCCACACCGAACAGGTAGCAATGAGGCCGAGTATGTGGCGAAGACCACAAGCAACCAGATTCATCAGTATTTGCTGATTTATTGATTATAGAGGTATGGATAAGAATAGGGTAGAGGGGCTCACGTGGCATCCGGTGATATCAGCTGAAGCAGGGGACGCCTGTAGAAAGGAGTAGGCGTTACTTGCAGAAGCAGTGGAACTGACCACAAGTCAGCTCCTGAAAACAACTGAGGGATGGGCAGCCCCAGGGATGGAATGTGAACTGGAGCCACACGGTCCCTCTCTGCAGTGTTCTTGCACTAGCAGCCCTGCCCCTTCACAGATCAGGACTCAGATCTCAGCTGCAGCCGCCGGCTGGTGGAAGCTGTACTAGCCTGTGACACCACCCACTGCTCTCGTGAGTCCCTTGGGCTCCGGTCCAGCTCTCAGTACATTTTAGCCAGTGATGAGGGGAGAGGCCTGCCCCATATACAGCCTGCTTGACTTTGTTCATGGTGGTCGGCCACAAGTCATTTCCTAGGCATCTCTCAATCCTTAATGTTAACAATACCGACAACCACAAATACTAAAGCCTGTTTTCACTAGGCGTAATTATGCCTTCTTCATCTCTAATTATTTAGTTTGTTTGGCCTCTGCCATACTGTATAAGATCCTTCCATCTTTACTGAAATGAAAGAACCCATCTCTCTGGCAGAAAGGAAGCACAAACCCTCCTTTTTTAAAATGCTGGTGTTTCTGACATCGATGTAGTTCCCATTGCCATGGTGAGTGGAGTTTCTTCTGGGCCCTCCCTCAGAGTGGAAGAGTAACTCAGGTCTGACAAATGCACTTCGACATTTTTCTACCCCTAGCCTGTTAAATTTATTCCTATATACTAAAGGACTTCTGATGGCTCAATTTTTATTTAACTTAGTGCCAATTTTCTGTCTACTTTTCCTATCAATTTCTGAGCGAGGAATCCTAATGTCTTCAACTGTAAGTAGGGATTTATCTATTTCTTTTAGTTCTGCCAGTTTTTGTGTCATGTATTTTCTTTGAGGTAAATACACATCTGTCATTATTGTATCTTCTTTATCAGTGCATAATATCCCTTCCTTGTTCTGATCAAAGTAAAACTCAGAATTAAGCAAATTTCTAGGCCTTTTTACAACTATTTTTGTCAAATAGGTTAGTAGGCCCTATCTTGTGGTATTCTTCAAAGTAAATGAAGCACTCGCTAAGCACATAGTAAATACTCAATAAAAGTGAACTCCTTTCTTCTGCCTCCTCCCACCTGAAAGTAAGTAAAACTGCACTGTCTACTTAGCCATCTCCTGCCTCACTCCAAACAATATGCTAAGTTATGAGAGAGATGTGGTAATTTTACACATGACAGTATTATTCCACATATCCAGTCCCTAAAATTCCCAGCTTCTTGAAGGAGTCACTCTGCTTCAGGTGAACCTCATGGGGGTCTAGGACAAGAGAAACCTGAATTCAAATGCCAGCTCTGCTATCCGAACAACCATGGCAACTTCTGAGCCTCAGTGTCGTGTCTGAGCCCCGGTTTCCGCATCTGAAAGAGTTAACTAAGATAATGCATGCAAGAACTCAGCGCACTGCCCAGTTCACAGCAATGATACTTAACATTCGTTTTCACTAAGTATTAATGCCCAATAAATGTAAACTGTTTATTACTTTTGTCAACACTTATTATTGATCACAACTGTATGTATAAATTGCTATTACTGTTGCCTTTGGAGCCACTTTTAAAATAAAGTGATGCTGTGAGGACACTGTTACACTCACCTCTAAGGAATCTCGTAGTTGTCTAAGATGTATGTATAGAAAAATAATCACAGCTGTTAAATAACTAGATCTATTCTATCCTTTATCAATAAATGACACCCTAAGATTATATTTGATTTGATTGTTACCATAGAGATATGGAAGAAGTTTTAAATATATTTAATTTAACCTTTAATATTATTTTTTTCTACTTTGCAGTTTCTGTAACCTAACGGCTATATTTGCTATAGAGATCTTTGGAGTGATTCCCAGGTAATGAGAAGTACCTACTGGGGCATTAATGAAGTGATTTCTAAAATATATAAATAGCAGCAAAATAGGAAACACACCCCAGTGTTCTCCCAAAACAAAGCCTATACAGTCGCTCTGTGGGATCCCCAATATAAGTCCTATTGTATAAAATATTATTATATGGCATGGAATTTCAATGAATCGTAAAAACAAAGCAAAACCAAATTTAAAACTTGTAGGAAGTGTTCATTGCAAAGTTAGTAGATTTCATTTTTCCTTTCTATGAAATCATTCTCATGTGTCCAGGAAACAAGGAGTAGAGACATTTCCCTGATTCAGTTCTTGTTACCTTGGAGAACAAACTAAAGAGTCTTGAGACTGAAGTTAAGGCGCTTCATCTTTCTGAGCACCCGCACTCTGCTCTTGAGTGCACCCTGTATCTCCCTCTAATAAATCCTTCCTGTGTCTCTTTTAACAATAACAACAAAAGAGTAAAGTTAGGACCTCAATTGATTTTGCTTCTCTGTCTAGGGCCTGATATCTCGGGGTGTTTTTTTATTTGTTCTAATTTTTTTTTGTAAAATATTAAAATGAAAATGAAAAATAGGGAACGAGGGCTGGCGGCGTAGCTCAGAGGTAGAGCACATGCTTAGTGTTCATGGGATCCTGGGTTAGATGCCCAGGCCAAAAAAATAAAGTAGAAGACAAGTCACTCATAGTCCTACTTTAAATATTACTGATGCCTGGATGTTTAATGCTAACGGAAGGTTAATGGTATGAATAACTGGTAAATGAAATAAGTAAAGAGTTGTCTCTGAGGTAACTTTGGGAAACATGTTTAATGTAGTGCGGCAACTTCCCTTCCTCATTAGGTTGGCACTGGTGATGCAGGTGAGTACTGAGAAAGACTGAGTGAGGAGGCTCTCGCCTCTCTGCCCCTATTTACTCAGCTTGATCCAGCAGCCCAGGCAACCACAGAGTGCCGCATAGGTTAGTGGCCACAGTTGAGCCTCTGCTGACCCTGAAGGCTACCAGAGCCAGATGGGTTAGCTGGTGGTGAGTGTCTTCCTGTAAGAGAGCCCGTCACGAGCAGTGACTGGAGATCCACAGCTCCTCATCCAATCACCACAAACTCCCATTCATTTGCTCTCCTAAGGAGGAGTCCCTGAAAGGGTCCACTTGTTACCAACCACCATCACCCTAACCAAGCTACCACTTGTATTCCTAGCTCAACTCCCCTCTTCTACTCCTACTCTATCCTTTCTCATTCTCCTCACAAGAGCCACAGTACTGTTTTCAAAATGCTAATTGTAGTAGCTTCAACCCCATTAAGTTTCTTTCCATAAAAGTAAAATTCTTCAACATGACCAGGAAGGACTTATGATCTAGCTTCTACCTACTTCTCCTCATCTTAGACCAAGTCCCCATCGTTTCCTCAGCTCCACACCCACCAACTTCTTTCAGTCCCCAGCCAGGGGTATGCTCTATCCCATCGTAGGGCCTTTGCACACACTAGATATCTGTCAGGACTCTGCTTTTCTCTTTACTGCTTAACTTTACCAACTTTACTGCTATTTATTCTTCAGATACTGGGATAATTATCTCTTCTTCATGAAGGCATCTCTTGATCCCATTCACCAGGTTTAATCCTGCTACAATGTGCTTTCACTGCATTGCGTATCTCTCTGTCTTATCATAAAGTGCAATTTTGGGGTTATCATTATTTGCTTATTTTTATATCCCCACTAAAATGTAAGATCCTTAAGGATGGGGCCTGTGCCTATTTTTACTCATCCCTGTATTGCCCGCACCTTGAACCGTGCTTGACAGATATCAGACAGCTACGCTATTTTAGTTCTAAAGAAGGAAGCCAACCACTGAACCTGGGTCATGATTATAGCCCCAGAGGAGAAAGACTGGGCTAATGTGACTTGGAAAACTGTTTAACACTTCAACCAATAATTATGGTTCAAAGGAGAATCAAAATTAATATCCAATACTGAGATAACATCAGCAGCAACAGCTAAGTATCTGGCCTAAGAATGAACAGTCTCCAAGGGAGGCAGCCATGCAGAGTGCTGGGTGAAGAGGTAGATGCCTGGCACTCAGATGAGAGTGCGCACACACACACACACACACACACACACACACACACACACACACGCCCCTGGCTGATCCTCAGGTGCCTGAAATTCATAAATCAACCATATTCACACACACAAATAGTGCTCCAAGCCAGGTGTGGTGGCGTGTACCTACAATACCAGCTACTCAGGAAGATTTCAACAGAGTCTGGGCAACTGAATAAGATCCCCGTCATGTGTGACACGGGGAGGGAGAGGGAGCGGAGAAGTGTCCTCCCCTCCGAATTTCCTCTCGGCGCACTGTCGACTCAGTGACCCAGCCTCAAAACCTAGGTAACGACCTTTACTCCTTATTTCTCAAATCCCACATCTTAACAGTCACTAAGGCCAAGCCAACCTAACTGCTGAATGTATCTTAGATGTGTCCATTTCTCTCCCTTTCTTCAGCCACTGATTTAGTCAAGACCTACATCATCACTTACCTGGATTATTAAAAAAACCTCAACGCTGGGTTTTTGGCCTTCACACTGGAGCTTCCCTTTTAGTGATTATTCACACTGCCATCAGAATCATCCTGCCAAAACGTTAACCCTCTATCACGTGTCGGATACTCCCTCCTCCCTCATCTTTTGGCTGAAATTTAGGTTGTAGTTTAGTGTAGCCTGTCTCGTCCAGCCCCCGTCCACTCACCTTTTCACTCATTTGTTTGTTGCACTGCTGGAGATGAAAACCCAGGGCCTCCCAGATGCTAGGCAAGAGCTCTACCACTGAGCTGCACCCTGAGCCCCCCGCCCACCTGTGGTTCCTCATCTCTCACCACTCACACCTGGCACCTTGAACTAGTTTTACTTCCAGGACACTCAAGAGGGATCTTAAAATTCCCTTCAGCTTCCATCACCTTGCATATGTCTGCAACACTGCTCGGCCACAGTTGGCTCCTCTGGTCCCAGGCCTTTCTAAGTAGCTAAAAGTAGGGTCCCCTGCGTGGCATCCCCCCCCCCACCCTGAGACGCACAGCTCCGCAGAACTTCATGCTTCCTTCCTCTTGCTTACTGACCACACTGCTCTCCACGCTGGCCAGCCCCAAGCACTCAAATGCCTCAACACAGGCACCATGTCTTACTGGTCTCTGTTTGGTTCCAGGGGTACACTAGCCAGCTATTCAAAAACCGGTTAAAGAAATTAAGAGCCAAAGTGAGAACAATGACTTCTGATCACTTTTTTGCTGTTCCTGTTTCAGACCAAGTGGCTACCTGGTCTCTGCTATCGTCTTTGTCATGATGCTGCTGTTCATCAGTATTCTAGTTTTGAGCTACTTCCAGTATACGAAGCTTTATCAAAAAAGTATTTATAAGCCATATCAGAAAATTCACATAAAACAAAAGACATATTAGGTATATACGTATAGATTGTGTTTGATGCTCATATTATCCTGTTGAAGATTTCAAGTGTTCTTAAATTTCTCTCGTACAGAAAGTTTCATATATTGTATACTATTAAATCTATCCTTAATGAGTGTGTTCACTTTAAAGATAGATATTCTATGTATTCAGAGAGCATTTTTAAAAATTAACTTTGGTTATTCTAATCTTTCCTAAGAATACATTTTTGAAAATATATAGATGTCAAATACAATTTTGCATAAATCTTTTCATATGAAACCTTATATGGCTATAGTGACTTTAATAAAGGATGTAATTAAAGTGCATGGACTTAAATAGCCTGTCTTAAACAGATTTTTTAAGTTTTTCTATGGTAGATTCATATGTGAAATGTAAAAGTTACATTAAAAATGAGGCAGCTGGTACTCTAGGTTTTAATTCTAAGTTAATCTGTCTTCTGACAACCACCTCAAATAAATCTTGCTGGTATGCTCTATTACTGTTGTCTCTTCTGATTTAAATTAAAGTTGATGAGTGATATATATGTGTGTATATACATATACATTCATATATATATTCTATTCTATCTTTCGTTGGGTTGTCAACTTCTTTGGTTGGTTGGTTGGTTGGTTTTTTTCGAGACAGGGTCTCAACATGTAGTTGACACTGACCTGGAACTCACTATGTAGCTCAGGCTGGTCTCAAACTCACAGCAATCCTCCTGCCTCAGCCTCCCAAGTGCTGGGATTACAGGCGTGCGCCACCATACCCGGCTTTGTCAACTTCTTGAGGACAGATATCCCGTCCATTTTCTCATGGATGACCTACGATACACAGTGTCTGACACATAAAAGGTATTCATTTAGCACTTGTTCAATGACTGAATGAACAATGAATGATTTCCACTACAGCTCAGCCCTATTTAAACTCCTCATACTCATACAGACACCTCTCACTCTACCCTCTTGCTTCATGATTCATTAAGAAAATCCAAGTAAATCAGAAAAGAACACCCCCACTTCACACTCCAGTGCTCCTAGCTTGCTGTCTCTGTCTCTCGTCTTTATGTCACCATTATACACCTGCATGTCCCTATTATGCTGCCACAATGGATGAAGCATCCCTCAAACCAAGTACCCTGCAGCCCTCCTCCTCTCTCTTTGGACTTGAAAAATCTCTCCTTTCTCCCATACATAATCAATTTCTCTCTCTTTACATTCAAATATGCCTCAATATCTCCCAGCTTTAAAATCCTTCCCTAGACTACTCTGCCCTAATTGAACAGTTGCCCCAAATCTAAGAGTTGTTTCCATTTCCTCATCTTAATTTGCTTCTCCAACCTTTCTTACCAACTGTTTAAAAACCACCCTTCAATGAGACTACTCACATGATTACTGAATCCAACAGTCTTGTGACTTCTGTGTCACTGTATGCTCTTTCTGATTGCCCTCCTGCCTATATCATTCATCTTTGACTTCTAAATGGTGAAGCATTTTAGAACTTTGTCCTTGGGTTATTTCTTTTTAGCTACACATCTTTTAGGTCATCCAACCAGGTCCAAGCCTTTAAAGTCTATTTCTATTAATGTCTATTTTAGCTTATTTAATAGCTATGACTAGAGTTTGTTTATGCAAATGTCTACACCTCATGGACGTGTAAAGGGCATTTCCAACATAAAAGGATCAAACCATTCCTCCTCCCCACAAGGTTTAATGTTTCACATATTATAAAAGGCATCACTATCCACCCAGAGGCCCACATCAAAAATCTGGAAGTTATTCTAGAATCCCTCTCCCAAATTCAACATTCAAACTAATAGCAAGTTCTATAAATTCTGCCTCCAAACTATGTCAGTTCTAACTTTCTTAGTCTCCCCCACGATCAGAATCTAAGCCACTTCTAGCATGTAGTTCTGGAATAGTTCTTGCCATCCCCAAAACTTTGCTTCTCACAATCTGTGCGTTGGGTGGGTGGTTCATCTGGATGGGTGGGCATGGCTAGGGCAGGATCGTCTAGGGCAGTTTCACAGTTGGATGTCAGTGGGATATAGGTGAAGACTTGTCAACTTCTCCCTTGTCATTCATCAGACTAATGCAGATTCGCTCATTTGATGTGGTCACAAGATCCCTAAGATCTCCAAAAGGAGAGCCTCCCACTTGAAAGTACAGATCAAGTCTCTGCTTGCATCATGTATATTAATATTTCACGGGCCAAAGCAAGTCAGAGGCCAGCACTGACTCAGTAGGGGAGACAATTACCAAAGATTATGTATAATTTGGGCCACTGGCTATTTTTACAACCTACCATACTACCATACTGATTTCCCTGGTTCTACCTCCTTTGCCGCTCTAAAATAATTTTCTACACAGCAACCCAAGTAACCTTTTAAACACACACTCACACACACACACACACACACACACGCATGTCACTCCTCAGCCCACAGCCTCCTAAATCTTAAAAATCTAAACATTAGAAATTTAAAAACTCTTCCAGGATCTGGCTTCTGACTACCTGCCCAGCAACACCATCACCTCTTTGTCTGTTAAGTTCCTGTCATAGCCATCTTTCGTTTTCTTGAATACCAAAAAATCCTTCATGCCTCAGCTCTCTGCACTTCTGAGCTCTTTGAGCGAGCAGCCTGTCCCTGTTATTTGTAAGGTTTTCTGTCATTCGGATATAATCTTAAAACTCATTACATAGTCCTCTATGCAGCAATCTAAGATTACTTTCAATCGCTTCTTTAATGTTCAATAAAGCATACGCTGATATTTTGTTTGTAGCCCCCAGCCTCCCCCTATACGGAAAGATGCGTGGCACGTGGGACACACGCCACAAATATTTCTTGAATGAATGGACAAGCTCCTTGTGTGTCTGTAGGTTGTATTAATCCATGAGTGCTGCACTCTCTTCCCATCTCAGCAGCACAATCTTATAAATTCTACACTGAGGGTTAACTGGATGCACGTTACATCCCATCCTATACCAGTACCCTACCTTCCTCAATTTCCTCGCTCTTCTCTTTGCAAAATTAAACAAAATAAAAGAAAGGGGTGAGGGGAACTTAGGGTCATGACTTTGCCACATTCTGTCGGTTTCACCAGGCTAAGCGAGGAATAAATTAACATCACCAGAGTCAGCACTGCGAGCTTGAAGGTGGACGACTTCACCTCCCGCCAAGGACGAAGAGTGAAGCATGCGCCGGCAGATCTAAGGCACAGTAGGCTGGGAGCTGTAGTCTCCTGGGACACCTGCTGAGGCTCGGGACCCCGCAGCATGCTGGGAAGTGTAGTAAAGGGCCGTGGAGACTACGCCTCGGCGTCGCTCTGCATGCTGGGAATCGTAGTTTTTCCGCGACCTCGCACCTCTGGGTCGGAGAGGCTCCGAGTCTGTCGCCATTTTAGGTCCCGAGGTGCGGCAGTAGGGAAAGAGAGCGCAGGCGGGCTCAGCCCGGCGCC